GTTATTATAAGTTAAGGTGTAATATGGGTTTAATTATCTTTTTACGGAAGTTTTTAATTACAAGTATTTACCATTTTTGTGAAAATCTTCAGGTGCCTCGAGCAAAACAACGTCTCAGTATAGAAAATATTGAGTCTGCAAGTAAGAGCCAGGAACTTGCTCAGGTTCACGTCAGAGTGAATCCGACCTGCAACACTTTCCACAAAATGAAATTAATCAACTTCTCTCACAAATCTCCACTGTCCTCTCTCTCCCTCTCTTTTTCCCTCTATATCTCTCGCCCAAGGGCACGTCGGTCCAGTGTCGCTGCCAAAGTGTTTCCTGTTACTGACTCTGCTGCTGTCAGAGTTGAGTGAAAGATGTTCGCAGGCAATAAGAGAAGAGGCGATCTGCTCCGTCTGTCTGGACTCAGCCTGATAGTTTCCACTAAAACCTGACACCTTTAAAATGTGACTAGTTTCAAACCTGAAAAATGTGATTGTCTCAAACAGACTCATTGATCAGCTGTTTTATTTTCACAGCAGAACTTATTCACGTGTTAAAGTTTGAGACGAGAAATCCAACATCAGGACAACATCTGGAACTGGTTCATTTAAAAGAGCTGCAGTCGTTACTCGCCAGGAAGCTTTTGTTTTCATCTGCGTTTATTAGTTTGTTTGTCGGTAGCCGGATTACACAAACACTACTGAGCTGATCCAGGAACTTTGCTTCCACTGTCTTTAACATGGCAGACTGTGGCCTTAGCATCTCTCCGAGCACCGATGACGTAATTTGTAGATTGAGTGAGTGTCAGCTGTCAATCATGACGTCTCCGCCTGTTTTTATATCATCAATAACTGATTAAACCAAACTGATCAGAAACACTTGAACGAACATCGGAGAGATGAGAACGAGCTGAAACAACAGAAACATCTTTGACAAACATTTATTTAACGTCTACTTTGCTTCATGTCCCATCTGCTAACATGGAGGAGGAGGTGTTTGTGACCTATACTGCAGCCAGCCACCAGGGGGCGATCCAGATGATTTGGCTTCACTTTTCGTAGCTGTCATGTCGTCCATCTTCAGATACGGTTCATCCCAAAGCTGTTGAACAGGGCAGACGTCAGAACTCTGCTGACCAATCGCCAACGTGGGAAAAGAGAAACGTAGAGTTTACAACGTAGAATATAAAATCTAATCTAATCTAAAATATAATTCATGCCCCCTCGATAAGATTTTCCTTCATTGGAACCAAACCAGGAAAAACTGACCGCTGCCAAAATGTAGACAGGCCGTTATTTCTGTCCAAAAAGTTTCTAATTAAAAAAACAGAAGAAAATATTGGTGGTGTTTTGCTCAAATGATCAGATTTTTAGGCTCTGAAAAGAAGAGAATAAAAAGATAGAAGGGGAAGCTGAGTCTCTGAGCTCCTAAAATACTTCAGCTCTGTTTATTTCAGTTGTAAAATCTTCCTGAGTTTCCATCAGAAAGGTCTTGAAAGTCTAACTCTGCGTAGACACCCTGCAACCTACATATCCCAAAAAAACATACTCATTGTTTTCTGTACTTTTGGCAAAGTGCATTTTTAATTTCTTTTTCTCCTACGTTCCTCCACTTCTTCGCAGCAGAGGCCTTTTTCTTTTTTCCGGAGGATCTTGTAGGAGTAGAGGACTCGAGTTCTGACTCTTCGCCACCTGTAGCCATGTTGTTCAGTCTAAAAATACAGCGCAGCTTTGTTCTGGCAGCCTGAAACTTGGCACGGCAGCTCGTTCTGCAGTGCGGGCGCTGCCCTGGGTTCAGCGCAGGGGAATTCAAAAAATGCACATCGACTCTAACCAGGAGAGGGTTGTATGGTTGGCATGTGAGTCTCCAAGGGGTTTTGATTCTGGCAGGCCCGGGCCGTCCTCCTGGTTGTTGCGGTTAAACAGACGGAGCGGAGATGAGCGTGTGTGGAGTCTTATGTTCGGAATATGAACAGGACACTCAAAGTTTTACTTCTGGAAGAGAATGATGCCAAGTCAGTGCACGGCAGGTCAGCTGAACATGTAAAAATGTTCCACTTCTGGAGGCTGAGCGTATAATTTAACATGCATGAAGAATAAAGTTGACCAGGACAAAGATTCACAGGGATTTAAAGTTACTCTGGAAATTAACAGCCGCTAATAAACTCACCACTTTTATTTACAGTGACGTCTCGGTGTCGTCTTCCCAAAATGTGTCTTTCTTTCAAGAACACATTAAATATATATAAATATCTTTACAGATTTACTCACTGAGTAAAACCTGTGGGAGCAATGATCTAAACAAGTCCGAAGGTCGTGACCTTTCCTCAGGTGACGTCCTCTTCATACCAGCGCTGCGTTCTGACTGATTCTCATGGGAAACACATGTATGTTCCTGTTGAGGTGACACTGCCTGACTGAGCAGCAGGTTAAAGTCTTGCTGCGTTCGTTTCACGTCAAACACTTAAAAGTGATCACATCAACCTCCAGCTGCCGAACCAGTGTTTCACTGACGCAGCATCAAACTGTGTCAGCCAGGATGTTGAAAACTCTTCTAACAGATGAGTTTTCTGAAGCCGCCTCTCGTCCTCTGACTTCCTGTCGCTTAACTTCCACAACTGTAACTCTTCCATCGCTCTCATGCTGTGACCTTTGACCTCTTCACTGCGAGCTGCGGTAGATCAGAGGATTGTAAGTCTGTTCCTGCGTCAGTCTCTCTGCATGTTTACTCATGTGTTGTTTTAGTAAATGTGAAGGAAAGTTCTCTGGTCTCTGTCTCCCCCTACCTGTCTCTGTGCTGTTCTGCCTCTCTCTGTCTCTCACTGTGAATTATGGGATGTTGGTCACTGTGAGCCTAACTGACCTGGGTTCAGTGTCTGTGGACTTGATAAACTGAGATTAGAGTCCGGTTCTTCCTTCAGGAAACACATTGTAGACTCAAAGTCTAACGAAGCTGGTGGAGGGTAAAGGGCAGTTTAGCACACTTCTTTCATCGTCTCCCCTTGTCTCTCTGTTTCCACTTATCTTAATGTCTCCACGCCGGCTACAGCCAGTGGCTGCATTGTGTTTTTGGTTCGTCCATATGTCCTCAGTCTTGGTGTCTTTGGTTCAGAAGGTCGACTCATCTTGTTCTCTCTAGGACCCGTTAGATCCTGGTCGCTGTGTGATGGTGATTCGCTCTTTGGTTCCTGGTGGGTCAGCAGAGCGTCACGGTGGTCTACTTCCCGGAGACCAGCTGGTTTCAGTCAACCAGACCCAGCTGGACCTGCTCACCTTGGCCCAGTCTGTGGAGGTCTTAAAGTCTATCCCATCTGGCACTGTCCGTCTGGGTATCCGGAAGCCTCTGGTGGTAAGCTTAGACCTCCTTGTTTTATGATCTAACTGTACGTTAAAACCTTCTTGGGTTTACCTTCTAGTTTTGGTCTAGATCTCTAAGTGGTAAGTGCAGACCGGCCAGCTTTTGGTCCATCATTTAGTTTTAGGCCCATACCATGTGGTTTTAGGGTTTTATAGGTCCAGATGGTTTTTTGTGCATCCAGACGATTTAGACTAAGTCCAAACCTTGTAGCAGTGGATCCTGATCTTCTAGTCTCAAAACCTTCTAGGCTTAAGTCCAGACCTTCCAGTCTTAGGTTCTGACCTCGCACAGCCCAAACCTTTTACTTGTTGCTACTGCACCTCTACTTGAAGGTCCAGAAAATCCAGCTCTATGTCGAGACCACGTGGTCCAGAACTCTGTGTTCTAGGCCCAGATCTTTGTATGTATATATGCAGATCTTCTCCTTTTTGTTCCAGACCCTCTTGTTCCAACCGAGGTTGGTTTGAACCAAACCTCCAGACTCTGGATGTTCCTCCTCCAGTATTAGTTAAAGATCTTCAGCAGCAGTTGAACTTCTGTCTCCACATGTTGATTTTGTGTTGTAGGAGGCGACAGAGAGGAGCAGAGAGGACGACAACATGACGTCTCTCAGCAACACGCAGCTGCCTGTTCCAAAGGTAACACACCGTCACAGTCATACATGACACATGTTGGAGACATGTTCAGGAACAACATGGATGTAATGTTCGCAGCTTTAAAGGAGCCAGTGGGAGTGGTTGTGGTTTTCCTGAATCAGAATGTGTGAGGATCTCGTACAGTCTGGAAAAATCTTGATTCATTTGAGAACACGTTTATCAAACACCATCTTTAAAACAGTGGTGGCCTGACGTTAACCACGTCAACCCCCACAAACGGGACCATTAAGATTTTCTCCTCTCGCTGACTCTGCTCCTCCATCCTCCCTCTCTTCTCCTCCATCCTCCCTCTCTCCTCCCTCTCTCCTCCTCTCTGCCTCCTCCCTCCATCTCTCTTCACCTTCCTCTCTTAAATCTCTGGTCTCTTTCTCTTTATCTCCTGCCTTAACTCATTTCACTTTAGTCTGCTTTACTGCTCTGGATATGAGATGAGCGGCGCTGCCAGAGAGTTTGACTATAAAGAAAAATAAATGGAGGAATAAATAAATGTAAATAAATACGCAGAGCACGACAGGAGCAAAGAGAAACTGACGCAGGTTTCAAACTGGATTTATCTCTGTGGAAACCTCCAACACGTTCAGACACAAGCAGTAATATGACAAATGCAACATGTGGTGTTTGTAGTATTTTAAACCTCTGTTGATGTAAGAACCAGGATTCAGTTCAGCTCTGTGTGAGTTTCTTGATTGAAGTGGAGACGGATGAAAGATTAGAATGAGAAGAGTTCTTCAGAAAGAAAAGTTGAAATCTTCAGATGTGACCTGAGGAGCTAAATGCTAATAGAAGATTAACACTAAAAAACATTTAGTTAACAGAACAATATGACTTGGTTTCATCGGAAAACATTGAAAAATGAAATTTGCTGTGTGAAACTAATTGTGATGAGTTGTCTCTTCGCTGATCTGAGCTCCATCAGAAACATGTTGAGTACTTTCTTCTGTCCAGAGTCTGTGATGAGTCGTGTTTGTCTGCAGCTCTGGTCATTACTTCCACTCTTCTACAGGAAGACATGTTTTCTGTCCGAGCTTTGTCTTTCAGATTCATCTTCTCATCCTTCCCTCCCTCCCCTCCATCATCCCTCCTTCTCCTCTGTCTTTCCTCCTCTCTTTCACCTTCTCTCACCCTCTCCTCCCCTCTCCTCCCCCTCACTGTGTGAGGAGTTGCTGACTCAGCAGAAAGGTTGGATGTATAAAGTGCTCCATCAGCTCAACCAGCAGCATCTCTCTTAAATGAGGGGGGGGGTGCTCTGAGGACACTCCAGCATCAGTACACCGAGTACTGCAGTTCTGTACACAGCGAGTACTGCAGTACTCACAGTCAAATAGCAGTAGTACTGCAGTACTCAGTATGTATATTATTGCAGTACTCTGTGTATACTACAGCAGTACTACTGCTGTATTACTGCAGTATTACTGCAGTACTCAGTTTGTACACTACTGCAGTACTCACTGTGAACACTGGTGCAGTACTGATTACTCAGCTCCATTTAAATCATAGACTGTAAATATAGATGTTGGACACGTTGGAAGAGTCACATTTTATGATCTATACTGCAGCAGCCACTTCAGCCTCAGCTCCAGTAGGAGGCAGCGCTGAGCCTCAGCTCCAGTAGGAGGCAGCAGTGAGCCTCAAGTCCAGTAGGAGGCAGCGGTGAGCCTCAGCTCCAGTAGGAGGCAGCG